TGATGGGAAACTCACCCGTGGGTTCACGCTCTAGATGGATGGCTCACCTTGGTTGCAGCACTAGATGGGTGGTCACCTGTGGGGTTTCACCTCCCGATGGGTGGCTCCCTGTGGCTGCACCTCTAGAGGGGGGCTCACCGTGGTTTCAGCACCTAGATGGGTGGCCACCGTGGTTGCACGACCTAAATGGGGGGCCCCTGTGGTTCACGCCCTAGTGGTGGCTCGTGGGTTGCACGCACCTAATGGGTGGCTCACCTGTGGCTGACGATCTAAAGGGTGGCTCAACTGTGGGGGGACGGGTCAGATGGGGGTCACCTGTGGGTTTCAAAGCATCTAGAGGGTGGCTCACCCCTTTGGGTTCACGCATCTGATGGGGGGCTCACCTGTGGTTTTCACGCCCTAGATGGGTGGCTCACTGTGGGTTTCACGCATTAATGGGTGGTCACCTGTGGTTGACGCACTAGTTGGGGGGCTCCCTGTGGTTTTCAGCTCTAGATGGGGGGGCTCACCCGTGGTTGCAGATCTAGTGGGTGGCTCACCCGTGGTTGCACGCTCTGAGGGTGGTCCCTGGGTTGCACGCATCTAGAGGGTGGCTCACTGTGGTTGAAGCATCTAGATGGGGGTCACCGTGGTTCCGCATCTAGGGGGGCTCACCTTGGTTCACGCATCTGATGGGTGGGTACCCGTGGTTGCACCTCTAGATGGGGGGTACCGTGGGTTGCACGCACCTAGATGGGTGGTCACTTGGTTTTAGCATCTAGTGGTGGCTCACCTTGGTTGCAACCCCCGAGGGTGGCTCCATGTGGGGTTTCACCCACTAGATGGTGGGCCCCCTGTGGTTGCACCCCTGATGGGGGGCCCCCCGTGGGTTTCACCTCTTGATGGATGGGTACCTGTGGTTGCACGCACCTGTGGATGGCCCCTGTGGTTGCACGCACCTAGATGGTGGGTCATGTGGTTGCACCATTTGATGGGTGGTACCTGTGGTTTGGGCCCCCCTAATGGTGGCTCACCTTTGGGTTTCACGCACCAATGGGTGGTACCCGTGGTTGCAGCTTTTAGTGGGGGGCTCCCTGGGTTGCACGCCCTAGATGGGGGGGTCACTGTTGTTGCAGCATCTGGGGTGGTCACCTGTGGTTGCACGCACCTTGTGGGTGGGCCCCACCGTGGTTGCCGCATTAGTGGGTGGCTCATGTGGGTTTCCGCCCTAGATGGGTGGCTCCACTGTGGTTTCACGCCCTAGTGGGTGGTCACCTGTGGCGCACGCATTAGATGGGGGGGCTCAACTGTGGCGCACGGATCTAAGGGGGGGGCCACCTGTGGTTGCACCATCTAGATGGGGGGCCCCCTTGGTTGCACGCTCTGATGGGGGGCCACCTTGGGGGTTTTCAAGCACCTAGAGGGGGCTCACCGTGGTTGCACCCTCTAGATGGGTGGTACCGGGTTCAGCATCTAGATGGGTGGCTCACCTGTGGTTGCCGCATCTGATGGGTGGTCAAATGTGGTTTTCCGAAACTAGATGGGTGGCTCACCCTTTGGGTTTCACGATTAGTGGGTGGCTCACCCGTGGTTTCCCCATCTAGATGGGTGGTCACCTGTGGTTGCACGCTCAGATGGGTGGCTCACTTGGTTGCAGCACTAGAGGGTGGCCCCACCTGTGGTTGCCGCATTAGTGGGTGGCTCACCTTGGTTGCACGCATCAGTGGGTGGTCACCCGTGGTTGCAGCACCTAGATGGGTGGCTCCCCCTGGTTTACCATTAGGGTGGCTCCCTGTGGGTTTCACGCTCTAGATGGATGGGTCCATGGGTTGCACGCACCTAGTGGATGGCTACCTGTGGTTGCACGCCCTAAGGGTGGCTCACCGTGGTTGCACGCATCTAGTGGTGGGCCCCCTGTGGTTGACGCCCTTGATGGATGGCTCCCCTGTGGTTGCCGACCTAATGGGTGGCTACCGGGTTGCCGCATCTAGATGGGGGCTCACCTGTGGTTCACGCACCTGGGATGGTCACCTGTGGTTGCACCCCTGATGGGGGCTCACCCGTGGTTCAAGCATCTAGATGGGGGCACCTGTGTTGCCGCCCCCTGAGGGTGGCTCACCTGTTGTTGCACGCATCGATGGGTGGTCCCTGTGGTTGCAGCACCCAGATGGGGGGCTCACCTTGGTTGCAGCATCTAGAGGGTGGTCACCTGTGGGTTTCACGCACCTGATGGGTGGCTCACCCCTTGTTGCAGCATCTGTGGGTGGCTCACCTTTGGGTTTCACGCCCTAGATGGGTGGCTACCCGTGGTTGCAGCATCTAGATGGGGGGCCCCTGGGTTGCACGCACCAGATGGGTCTCACCTGTGGGTTTCCCCGCACCTAGTGGGTGGTCACTGTGGTGTGTTTTCCCGTGTTGTGACACCCGCATGTTGTGTTCTTCGTGTCAGGTGACTTCACAGTGTTGTGTTGTCTTAGTGCCAGGGGGATTCAGCAGTGTTGTGTTGTCTTAGTGCCAGGGAAAATTTGCAGTGTTTGTTCTCTCGGTCAGGTGATTCAGCGTGTTGTGTTTCTTAGGTCTTGACTTCAGTAATGGTGTTTTTTAGTGTCAGGTGACTTCGTAATGGTGTGTTTCTTGTGTGGGCTTCAGTAAAAGGTGGTTCTCTTAGTGTCAGGTGATTTCAGTAATGGGTGTTTCTTAGTGTCAGGGGACTTCAGTAATGGTGTGTTCTCTTGTGTAGGTGACTTTATAATGGTGTGTTCTTTGTGTCAGGTGATTGTATGGGGTGTTTTTCTAGTGAGGTGACTTTGTAATGGGGGTTTCTCTTGTGTCAGGGACTTCATAATGGTGGTTCCTTGTGTCAGGTGATTCAGTAATGGTTGGGTTTCTTAGTGTCAGGTGCTTTATAAAGGTGTGTTCTCTTAGTTCAGGTGATTCAGTAAAGGTGTGTTCTCTTAGGTCGGTGACTTCAGTAATGTGTGTTCTCTTAGTGGGCAGGTGACTTTAGTAATGGTTGTTCTCTTAGTGTAGGTGATTAGTAATGGTGTGTTTCTTAGTGTCAGGTGCTTCATAATGGTTTTTGGGTTTCTTTGTGTCAGGTGACTTCGTAGTGTGTTTCTCTTAGTGTAGGTGATTTAGTAAAAGGTGGTTCTCTTTGTGTCAGGTGACTTCTTTTTGGTGTTTCCTTTGTGTCAGGTGACTTTAGTTGGGGGTGTTTCTTAGTGTCAGGTGATTCTAAAGGTGTGTTCTCTTATGCGTGACTTCAATAGTAGTGTGTTCTTTAGTGTCAGGGGACTTTAGCTGTTGGTTTTTAGTGTCCCGTTGATTCAATAGTATGTTTTCTTGTGTAGGGGACTTCAGTAATGGGGTGTTGTCTTTGGTAGGGGACTTCAGAGTGGTGGTTTTCTTAGTGTAGGTGACTTCAGTAAGGTGTGTTTCTTAGTGCAGGTGACTTTAGTAAAAGGGGTTTCTCTTAGTGTCAGGTACTTTAGTAGTGGTGTGTTTCTTTTTTAGGTGACTTCATAGGGTTGTTTTCCTTTTTGTAGGTGACTTCAGTGTGGTGGTTCTCTTAGTGCCAGGTGCTTTAGTAATGGTGGTTTCTTAGTGTCAGGTGACTTCAAAAGTTGTGTTCTCTTGGTCAGGTGACTTTAGCAGGTTTTGTTGTCTTAGTGTCAGTTGGCTTATAGTATGTTTCCTTTGTGTCAGTACTTTAGCAGTGTTTGTTTTTCTTAGTGTAGTTGACTTCAATGTAGTGTGTTTTTAGTGTCAGGTGACTTCAGCTGTTTGGGTTTTTGTTTTTAGTGTCAGTTTGACTTCAAAATAGTGTGTTCTCTTAGGTCAGGTGCTTGCATGTTTTGTTCTCTCTGTAGGTGACTTCTAGTAGTGTGTTCTCTTTTGTTCAGGTGACTTCAGCAGTGTTGTTTGTCTTAGTGCCGGGACTTCGTGTAGTGTGTCTCTTGTGTCAGGTGACTTCACATGTTTGTTCTTCAGTGTCCCTGACTTTGAGTTGTTTCTTCATGTCAGGGAAAAAAAAACAAAATTTTTAAAGTTTGGTCACTGGAATGAGTCTGAAGTCCTGGAACTGGGGGTCATAAGTTAATGGTTAATGATTAAAAAAAGTGCGGGCTTTGTGTCTTTCAGAAAACTGTTTTTTGCATTTGGGTAAATGTACATTTAAGTTTGTATTTTTGGGCGAAGAGTCCATTCAAGAGAATTTGTCATAAGGAATTCACTTGTTATTTGCGCAGGTGAACCAATAGTTTACATGAAGTAAAAAGTAAAGTGAAAGTCGGTAAAGTTTGTAATTAAACGTTCTAGAGTCGGAAGCATCCCGCTTTTGTTCTTTAACAGTGCATTTAGCTTTGTTCTCATAGTAAAAATTCCCTCATGAGGGGCTGATTCCTCAAAACTCTTTGCCTTACCTTTTTTTTTGTATTTGGGTGATGAGCCTTGTGTGGCGAAACTTATCAGTAATAAAGATCCCCCAAAGGGTTGACATGTGTCAATTTTTCTACACTAAATTTTTTAAATTTTTTATTCTCCCAAAACCCCAACATATTTAGTTTAATCAAACTTTTTATAATTTTTTTCCCACCAAAGCCTTGTTTAAAATTTACTGTAAATTTTTATCTACCTGCCTGAAAAAATTACTCACAGGGCAGAAAAATATTGTTATGGACTTTTCAAAATGAAATATTATTGTTAGGAAAGACACATTTGCAAAAAAAGGACATTTTTTTTATTGCGACGTTTCGCCTCCCGGAGCTTTTTTTAAGCTACGACTTAACAACCATAATGTTTTATAGTGGTTTTATTTTACCTAACTGTTGTCGTAACTCTATGATTTCCTCATTTTTGTACATATTTACTGTCTCAATTTGTCCAAATTTTGTATTTATAAAACCACTGGATGGGCGAAAAATCTACAAAAAGATACCGATGTTGACCCTGTGTTTAAACATAACTCTACCCAAAATTGCTCAAATAATTGTTTCCGACTTTAATCCGTTTCAGCAATTAGTTTAAGATTTTTCAAAGTAAGACACCTGTAGATAAAGTCAACTTTAAAAGTAAGGGGAATAAAGTTAAATAAAGAAATTTATGTTACCCAAAAATGACTTCATTTGGGCTGCGGTGCCGTAAAAAAGGTTTGCCTAATAATATTCACTTCTTGGGGCAAAACTAAAGAAGAAAAAAAAGAAAAATATCCTCCGAGTTTCACTGTGTCAAGACCGACCTTGCCGGGTCCACAGGAGCAGAGGGCGCCCTCTGGCGTGCTGCTGCAGGTTTCTTCACAGCCACCGTTGTCTTCAAGACAGAGGTCCAGCTGGAGACACGACAACTTGTTACGACTCAACGTCTGGCCAGGGAGACACAGGCACTGCACACCATCCTCTTGTTGAGAACACAACTGTAACGACACCAGCACACTCTTACATGTATATTTTAGTATTCCAAGAATTTTTCTTGCAATAACGATTATTATTAATTATTATTAGTAGTAATTATATTATTACTAATAAGAAAATTTTATTATTATTATTATTAGCAGAAGTAGTAGTAGTAGTAATAATAAAAATAGTAGCAGTAGTAGTAGCAGTAGCAGCAGTAGCAGCAGTAGCAGTAGTAGTAGTAGTAGTAGCAATAGAAGTAGTAGCAGAAAAAGTAGTAGTAGCAGCAGTAGTAGTAGTAGTACGAGTAGTAGTAGCAATAGTAGTAATAGTAGTAGCAATAGTAGTAGTAGTAGTAGTAGTAGTAGTAGTAGCAGAACTAATAGTAATAACAGTAGTAGTAGCAGTAGTAGTAGCAGTAGTAGTAGTAGTAGTAGTAGTAGTAGTAATAGTAGTAGCAGCAGCAGCAGCAGTAGTAGCAGTAGTAGTAGTAGCAGCAGCAGCAGCAGTAGTAGCAGTAGTAGTTGTAGCAGCAGTAGTAGTAGCAGTAGTAGCAGTAGCAGTAGTAGTAGTAGCAGTAGTAGTACGAGCAGTAGTAGTAGTAGCAGTAGTAGTAGCAGTAGTAGTATGAGTAGTAGTAGCAGTAGTAGTAGTAGCAGTAGTAGTAGCTGTAGTAGTACTAGTAGTAGCAGTAGTAGTAGCAGTAGTAGTAACAGTAGTAGTAGTAGTAGTAATAGTAGTAGTAGTAGTGGTATTAGTAGTAATTATATTATTACTAACAAGAGAATTTTATTATTATTGTTATTATTAGTAGTAGTAGCAATAGTAGTAGTAGTAGTAGCAATAGTAGTAGCAGTAGCAGTAGCAATAGTAGTAGTAGCAGTAGCAGTAGCAATAGTAGTAGTAGCAGTAGCAGTAGCAATAGTAGTAGTAGCAGTAGCAGTAGTGTTATGGGACTATGGGACCCAACACATATTGATGTATATAAGTAACAGTTACTGTGGAATACGTAATTTTTTTATATTTTATTTAAAACTGCATTTACAAAATACATAGATATGTGCAATTTAGTGGTGCATGTTATGATCAACATCCACACTGGTGCGTGCTATAGAATATAATATTGCATACAACAATTCAAGTAACCAACATCCTTGCTTATAGAACAAAATGTACATAATAATTGACATCTCAACTTCAAGTTCCGGACTCACCCCCCAATTGTTTAATACTAATGTACATGTTACACTGATTTAAAGAATAAAGCAAGTCCACATTTAATTAAACATTAATTTAAACCACCTGTATCTTTAATTCGTTAATAACACAAATAAGAACATATCACCATTGCTTAATATTACACAAGAAATAATCAACGATATCGCTAATTAGTTACCTATATGTACACAACTAATGGTATTACTAAATGTTCCATTTAATTACAAACTTGGTACCTACTTCATGCTATTCGTTACAAATACATTAAATGGCTTTAGTTACCACCTCTCAAAAATTCTACATGATGACACTATCAATACAATGTTCGTTGACAGTACCTACTTCACATTCAAATATATAAGTGGATGTGAGTACCCACCAAAATTCCATTACACTGTGGATGGGTGGACCCACTCACATCATTTGTGGATGGAGTGACCCACCACTCCATCATGTGGATGGAGTGACCACCACTCCATCATGTGGATGGAGTGACCCACCACTCCATCATGTGGATGGAGTGACCCACCACTCCATCATGTGGATGGAGTGACTCACCACTCCATCATGTGGATGGAGTGACCCACCACTCCATCATGTGGATGGAGTGACTCACCACTCCATCATGTGGATGGAGTGACCCACCACTCCATCATGTATTTACATTTCATTACAATTCCCAACTAAAAAAAAATATACCAAAATGCATGAATAGTATTTTAAGAAACACTAAATTCGTCCATCTGCTATGTTATGAACTAAGCCATAACAAAGTAATACACGCTGGAGACGATGTTGATTTGCACCTGAGTGTTGTTTCAGCACAATAACACCAAACCCAGGGAGTTTTATTATCTCTGAGAACATTACTTTCACACCAAACACAACCAATTACACACGTTTACCTCCACTCACGCCCATCCACCCATCACCTCACACAATGTCCCACTCCAACACACAACATTCATACAACTTATATAATGGGCAGCTCACACCCGAACATACGGATGGCCATGTGTTATTCTTGTAACAACATCAAAACGTTGAACATTACACAAAAAGCCATAATGCAAGACATGTTATACATATTTATATAGTATCTGTAAACCTTATACACAGAACAATAATACAACTCGGATCATTCTTAATTATACAGAGTCCATGATACAGCTGCCCTATACATCGACCACTGAAAAACAACGCTTCCATGGAATGATAAAAGCAAAATACAACGTACAAATTTTCATACAACATACAGTAAAAAAAAAAGACTCAGTATGGCTGTGGTTGTAAGACCCCCCCCCCCAAAATGCCCTACATGTAACACACAACATACGTACTATAACATTTATTAGCCATATCTGGACATATTTTCGGCATGTAACATGTGATAAACCTCCTAATTATATAACAAGGCCATGACTTATATAATCCAAAACAAAAGAAAAACCTTGCACACTAATAGAAGGTATGTTTTCACCCTACCATAATCGCATACACCCCACCCCATCCATTCACTCTTTCGCGAAAAGCCTTCGAACACTCACACCATCACCAACCTTAACCCTTGAAAAACCGACTACAAAAGGAAACCAGTCCCCTACATTGTTATCCCTATGCCAATTGAAGGAGACAGCTGACCGTAAAGTCACGGTAGGTCTCCGGAAAACAAACCCCCCACTGTCCCCCATAAATAATTTTATCCCTACCAACAGTCCTGTACATACCCACCGCTATTGCCTTAATCCGAATTCCGCCCCCAACATCCCTCATTCCCCAAGAAATATACAGAAAATCCACTACCACCTACATGATCGCCCTTTTCACCTCCTTTGGGACCCCTCTTACTTCCAACGTTAAAGCTCGAAGGGTCAAAACATTACCCCCACCCATCAGACGAAAAACCCTTGCCAACCACGACCTTACCTCCCTCAATGCCTCACAAAAATAAACTGCATGAAATGCTGTTTCAATTTCACCACACTGTATGCAGTACGGTTCCCTCACCAAGCACATTAAACTCAAAATTGATTTCGACACTAAGATCCCCATCATGAATCTGTATACTAACTCCCTTACCCTCGGCATCAACCTAAGCTTCCGGAAGTCTTCCCATATCATTCCCCAATCATACAAGGGAAAAACCGATACACCTTGTAGGATCTCCAGCCTCCTACTCATCGACACCAAACACCCCACTTTAAGTCGTGCGACGTCCCAAACCAGTAACAAAATCCTAAGCATGTCTTCACATTCAATTAACTCCTTACCACCCCACCATTTACTCACATCACCCATCACCTTCCCCACTCTAACCCCTCTTTCCCCCCAGCCCTGACGAATCTCTGTTTTACATACATGGCTTTCACTCCCGGCCCCAACTCTAAAAGGCCCACACCCTCGCTGTGTACATGGGACATCACCATCTCCTTACTTAACCATGCCCTCCCAAAACCCCAGACATAACGTAATACCCGACACTGGATCTCCTACATGTCTTAGTGTCCTCAAAGGATACACTTCAATCATACTCCACACTTTACTATAAACAAGCGAATTAACTATTACTGCCCTCTGCTCTAAGGTGACATCTTCTGCCCGAAAACCCCATAACCTACTCAATGCTTTCTCCACTGCCCATTCTGAGTTTACCCTTCTGGCCTCCTGCACATCTGCCATGTATATTACCCCACAGATCTTTAGCCTATCCACCACTGCCCACCCAAGCTCCAACCCCAAATCCCCCCCCCACCCAAGAACCCACCTCAAATAAACTCGATTTTTCCCTATTTACACGCATGCCCGTCGCCTTCCCAAAAAGCTCCAACATCCTTCCCACAGTACACAATCCCTCTACCCCATCTATCAAGACAGTGGTGTCTTCCACATACCCCACTTTACCTATACAACCATCCCTCTCCCCCTGTAACGTCCCCCCCTCTACTAGTCCATAAAATGGATTCTGCATACACGCAAACAGTATTTGAGAAAACGGGCACCCTTGCCTCAAACCCCTCTCCATGTTAACCAGCCTCCCCAACCTACCATTAACTTGAACCCGCACCACTGCCGATGAGTACAGTGTATCAACCCACCTCACAACCCCTTCCCCAAAACCCTGACTCAACAAACTAGCCCTCAAAAATTTCCTATCCACACAGTCATATGCATTCTCCCAATCGAGACCCTGCTCCTATAACCTTCTTCATCCTATTACCTAAAATCTTCGCAAAAATCTTATAGTCAGAACACACTAGTGAAATAGCTCTATACACACTTAAGACTCTTCCCTCCTGCTTTTTGCACACCAATACGACCACCCCCTACTTTGTGTCTGTCCTAGCTTCCCCTTCTGTAGCATGTAATTCATGACCTCCACCAGACAGTGCTTAATATGCTCCCAATAAACCCTATAAAAATAATTTGAAATCCCATCTGTACCTGGTGCCTTGCCAGTACTCATGTTGAACACTGCCTCCTCAACTTCCCCCATGCTAATCTCATCTCCCAACTCCATCCCCTTCCCCTCTTGCTGCCCCAACCAATTCCCCCCCCCCCTCAACACTTCCTCAATAGCATCACCCTCCTCCCCCTGCCTCCATTTCTCCCTAAACCAGGTATCAGCATAATTACTCATGCCTTCTGTAGTTGTAAGCACCTGACCCTTATGATATCCACCCATACCCTCACTTACCTCCAATTGCAATATAGTAGACTCCTTCTGCCTGACCCGAAAACATCACAAAACGCAGCCCGAAGGTTTATCTCCCCACAGCCCAGCCTCCAGACCCACCCTCACTCG